GTGTGTGTGTGTGTGTTTGTATGTATGTTAAAAAAATTAGCTCCAGAAGGAGCAGGTCTTTGTTGAAAGGTAATAAATCTTAATTGCTTACTCAAAACAAAATATACTTGCATTATAATAGCAGTAACTGATATAAATACATTGTTGGGTACATTCACCTTTTCTCCCAGAGGATTGCAGCTAATCTCATAGAGGACAGGGAATTTTAAGGTTGAAGACAGATTAGGTCATTGTGAATCAAGAAGCTGGGCAAGCTTAGGCAAATGCAGGAGTCACAGCTCATGGAATGGTGGTGGTGGTGGTAGTGGGCTATGGGACAGCAAATATAAAATCCAGAGGCTTGTTTGTAAAGGGGTTAGATAGGCTCAGTTAGGAAGAAGGGAATGAAATACATCTGAATAGGGTTTGTTAGGAGCTAAGAATGTGGAGAGAGCTCAAGGAGAAATGTTACTATATCTAAAACTGAGATGTTCCTGTGTACTGTGTGGAACTAGCCTAAAGCTAGATGTTTATCGTATTTGCTGTATAATAAATCTTTACTATTTGCATCTTGTACAAGTTGGTCTGCATGTTTTAATATAATTAACATGGACAAGGACTGCTTATGCTTTACCATACTTTACCCAATGATCAACACTGCCACGTGTCCAGCATAGTTGTTACCTTGAAGTCCAAATGCCAGATTTTAAATGTAAAAGACATGCTGAGTGAGAGGAGTCCAAGGGTTAGAACTGCAAGGCCAACCTAAAGATGGACTCCATCACAGTAATCATTCCCATTAATTAAACAGTCCCAGTACTTTGACCCTTCAAGCCCTGGAGTCACTTCATTTCAGCCCTGGCTTTTTTTTTTTTTTTTAGTGATATGGTAGTGACTGAGCTGCATTCACAGTCCTTTACACAATATTAAATTTCTGCTTCCACTTTGACTCAGAATTTCCAAATTCTAACCCAGTTTGGAAAAAAGTTGGGCTTATTGGGAGTAGAAATTTACTGATGAATTGTAAGGGGGGTTGCAGACTGTGAAAAATAGTGTGAATTCAGTCCACTTTTAGGGTTAGGGTTAAGGTTAGGGAGTCATGGGAACTGAATTTTATTGTGGCACTAGAGTTCTCTGACAAAGAAGGTTCAATGTCTCAGAAAAATAACAATTCCCATGATTCCCTAGCACTAACCCTAATCCTAAAAGAGGACTGAATTCACACTATTTTTCACAGTCTGCAACCCCCCTAAATCAGACAGAGGTCTACCAGAAGATCCTAGTCTACCTTCTGGTCGACTCCTATTTTATATCAATTGATACCCAGGTACTTCATCTGATTCATAAGGTACACCTGTCTTTAGTTTTAAAACATATAATAGGGACTTAAATTCTTCAAAATTTCATTTTATATTGATCTAGAAAAAACATAGCCCAATCATTTCTGACATTAATAGTCTTTCTTTCCCCTCTTCTGTGTTTGCTCAGTTTTTTTTAAAAAAGCCTTTTATTTTTGTTTCTCCTTTTAAGCTATTCCACTTAAGGCTGCCATTATTGGGGTATGGGTCAGTAAGATTATGAGAGTTCCTACAAATAATGGCCAGGGTGTGAATGACAGGCTAGTTGAACAGTAGCTTTATTTTTCATGACAGTTTTGGTTCACAATTTGAAACTTCCACTGTAGCAATTTGGAAGATGAAGTTAATAATATTAGAAATAATTTCTTTTTAAAAAATGAAGCATGAGCAGTGTTGATTAAACTAATACCAAATACTTAATGCCAAATTATAAATAACTTGGATTTGGAGCTCAGCAAAACCATTGTAGGATTACTGTTAGCAATAAAATCATTACTTAATGACACAAAGATATATGCAGTGATGCAAACCCACTTTGATCCCAGCTTTAACCTTTTAAAAAGTTTGCTTTTTAAGATTCCTGTCTAATTTTAAACACTAGCTCCTTTAAATCTTCGCACGTACTTACATAGCTTGGGCTAAGATCCAAAGAGCTATTTTTAGGTACACCCAAGGGCTTGAGATCTGCCCAGTGGAAAAATTTGACTTTCCTTCTTCTTTGAACAGAAAGCCCCTCTGATATATACACTTTTGAAACTTCCTCATAGTTCAAAAACTTTCACCATATGAAGGGAAGGAGTACTTTGCTTGAAAAATGTTTGTGAGGATTGTCTCATAGCAAATCTACTGTTCCCAAGGCTCAGTTACAGTAGAAGGGGCTAGCCTGGAGAACTTTTTGCCATGGTTCCTGATTTTTGCACATCGTTCTACAGCAAGCTAGTGTGGTGTATTGGTTTGGGTGTTGGACTAGGACACTGGGAGGCCAGGGTTCAGATCCCTACTTGGCCATGGAAATCCACTGGGTGACCTTGGGAAAGTCACTCTTTCAGCCTCAGAGGAAAGCAATGGCAAGCCCCCTCTGAACAAATATGGCCAATAAAAGCCCATAATGTTTGCCTTAGGGTCACCATAAGTCAGAAATGACTTGAAGGTACGCAACAACACATTCTACAGCAATGTAGAATCTTAGGGTCTTTGCAGACAGCTAGAAATAGTGCAAATTGAGTCCACTTTAACTGCCCTGGCTCAGTGCTAGGGAATCATGGGAATTGTATTTTTTTTCTGAGACATTGTGCCTTCTCTGTCAGAGCCACAATAAATACAGTTCCCATGATCCCCTAGCACTGAGTCAGAGAGAAGTTAAAGTGGACTCAATTTGCACTATTTCTGGCAGTTTCCAAAGTTTGGAGACTGCCAGAAATAGTGCAAACTGAGGCCACTTTAACTGCCTGGACTCGGAAAAAAATACAATTCTGGCAGTCTGCAAAGGCCCTTGTCTCTGACGTCAGAGATCCCTGCCCTAGAGTGAGGGGGATGCCTATCCTGCAAGTGGACCATCTCTGTTCTCTTGAGCCTTTAGGGCCTAAGCAGACTGCCAGAAATAGTGCACATTAAATTGAGGCACTGCCCTGGCTCAGTGCTAGGGAATCATGGGAACTGTAATTTATTGTGGCACCAGAGCTCTCTGACAGAGAAGGCTCAATGTCTCAGAAAAAATTACAATTCTCATGATTCCCTAGCACTGAGCCAGGGCAGTGCCTCAATTTAATGTGCACTATTTCTGGCAGTCTGCTTAGGCCTTGAGATTCCAAAGAACAAATGTTTTCTTCTGTGTACCACAAATTCTGCTCAGTAAAGATGCTTTTCACATCTCTGTGTAGTTGTTTATTTGCCTAGCCTTGACTTGAGATCCTTTTATGCAATCATCTTTTCTGGAATTGCAAAATATACCCCCCAATAATTGTGTTGCTTTTAGCCTTTCAGTATACAATTTTGGAGTATCATACTGTATGGATGTTCTTGTACACTTTTTGACAAACAATGTATTTTTTTTTCTTTGATGCACCATTCCTTTGGTCTTTCCTTACATCACTAATCTAAATATGAGCCTTTTAAAATTGTTTATTTACTTAGGATCCTATTCTGCCTTTCTTCATCATGAAGAAAAAGAGACTGCATATACAAATTGCCCAAATGGTTTTCTCTCCAGGCATCTGATCCAGACTAGGTTTAAATTTGTTGTTGTGTACCTTCAAGTCGTTTTCAACTTACAACAACCCTGGCACTATCACAGGGTTTTCTGGACCTGAGAGTGTGTGACTTGCCAAGGTCACCCATTGGGTTACCATGGTCAAGCGGAGAATTGAACTCTGATCTCCAGAGCCATAGTCCAATGTTCAAGCCACTGCACCACACTGGCTCTCCTGCTTTAGATAGTTGCATGCAATAATGCTGGTTTTCTGGATAAGTAGAATTGGAAAATTTCCCGTGTTCCAGATAATGTTGTCTTATTTAGTATGTCCAGTTCAAATGTTACATTCAAACATATTTAGAGCTTTATATAGAGATTATTTTATTGGAATATTGGTAATAATATATAACAAAAAATGACTGCTCCTGAAAGAACACAAATTTTATTTTAGGATGCACACTTAAAGAGAGCTGCTCTTGATATATCTTATAGCAAAAATTTAACTCCCCTTTGTTGTGGTATGATTGTAATATCTTCTACTTTACACACTCTCTGCACTACTTATCAGTTCCACTTCAAGCTGAGAAAATTTTGATGCAGTGCAATTAGCTGAACATTCAGTTTCACAAAAGGATGGATGTGGGTCTGTGAGCACAGACAACTATTGACATTTTTGGGGGAAGCAGACGACTGCTTCCGGGTCGCCACGGGTCGGAGCGCCGGCGGAGCTCAGCCTCCGCACAGCGGCGCACCTCCGGCGACTCTAAAAGGAGCGCCAAATTGGCGCTCCTTTTAGATGTCAGGGAAAGTGCACCCTAAAAGCGGTGGGCACACTTTCCCTGACTCTTCCGCCGCGGTGCGTCCGGTCGCCGCGGCGTGAGGTCATCCCTGGAGCGCCGGCCATGCGGAGGGCCGGCGACTCCGAGGGCGACCTCAGGAAGAGGAAGGGGTGCCGCTCGTGCGGCTGCCCCTCCTCTTCCGGGCCTCCAAGATGGCGCAATTAGCCGTCTGCCGAGGCCCTTAGTCTTGACTACTTGCCCTTGTGACTGACTGAGGAGCAAAAGATACAGCAAAATAGAAACAAGCTTAGCAGTGTACTGGGGTTTGTCAGTGTTTGTTTCCTTTTGTCCTATAGTCATCCCATGTAATATAAAGCAAAGCAAAGCAAAGCAGCTTCATATCACGCTATGGGATGTCTGAGTGGTTTACAACTGTGAGCTGATTGCCCCCCAACAATCTGGGTACTCATTATAGTGACCTCAGAAGGATGCAGGCCTGAGTCGAGCCTCAGCCCTGGCTGGTATTGAACTCGCAACCTTGTGGTCTGTGAGTGAGTGGCTGCAGTACAGGCATTTAACCACTGCGCCACCAGGGCTGTTTGATTGACTGTAGTGTAACAGTCCATGCAACTATGTGTAAATGTAAATCATGTGTGGACATAGTGTAGCTTGTGGGCTGCATGCAGCCCCCCAATGCCATTTCTCAGGGTTCCCCAAGGGTCAAATATATATGTATGTGTTTGTGTGTGTGCATGTGTGCATGCAAAACCAATTTTTAACCCCCTCTTATTGTTCCAGAATGCCCCCCAAAGCACCCTGAAGGTGAAGGACATTTACACCATGTTTGAAGGCCCCAGGGTGCATCAGGCATCAGAAATATCAAAATCCTCCCATGTGCTCCAGAATGTCCACTGAGGGTGTGAGGTGCATTTCTACCACATTTTGCAGCCCTAGGCATTTAGTCCAGGAAAGGCATTTTTGAAAATTCAAAGCATGATAAAAATGTCTCCATACCCCCTAGAGCTTTTTGTGGTGGTGGTGGTGGTGAGATATTAATTAATTTTCTGTATCTGTGTGGTAGCAGGCATGCCTCTCCAAGATCTCCTGGGGGCTAATGCAGCCCTCTAGCCTTCCGCAGTTGCCCACTTGTGATGTAGATATACTATATGTAAATAATTTTTTTCTCCTGGAAATATAGATAGTGGAGATTATTGTACTATACTCTTAAAGTGTTGCTATTCCACTTTAAATCTGGCTCCCACCTGTTGCATTCTGGGATTTGCAGTTTAGGGAGGGGCATTTAGAATATTCAGCCAGAGAGGTCTTAGGCCTCACTGAATTACAAACCCCATAATGCAACAGGAGGCAGCCAGAGTAGTTAAAGTGAAATAGCATCGCTTTAAGATTGTAGTGCGATAATCCATATTATCAGAACATTTTCCAATTTTTTTTCCATTTTTGCAAATTCGTCTGTCCCACCTATCTGCTTGCACATGGATCTTCAGATAGTGTTCTTTGAATGTATTTCATATCTGCATATCAATATATGCATTTTTCATTGCTTTCACTGGGACATTGATTTTAGTGGGTTACCTTTTGCATAGGTCAATTCCGGCATACATCCAACATTATACTGGTAAAACATCTTTCCTTTCTTCTCACCTCTGCAGCCTTTGGAGCTTCTACAACATGTGATGTGGTTTGTTTTCCCCACCCCCTGAGAGGAGATTTTTAGGGCAAAGAGGGAATTGTCCACTCTCATTGTAACAAGCAGAGGTCTAGCATTGGATAAAGTTTGGATAAAACCTGGACAAAAGAAAGTACCTTATTATGCAATGCATAATTTGTTTGTGAAATGCTATGAGATGCAGTCATGGCAACAAGCTTTGATCACTTTTAAAGGGTTGTCTGTACTTTTTGAGGATAAGGCTATATCAGTGGTTGTTGATCACAAATGGGTGTATTGTTAACTTAAGAGGAAGTCTAATCCATATGCTGCAGTAGGAATTTTAGTGTGGGTTTCCAAAAGTCATATCTTAATACATTGACTGCCATTGGACAGCTCTGTGCATCCCCCAGAAAACTTCACAATTCCAAACTATTTGGAAGAGGCTGGATAGACTTTAGCAACTTCGTTATGGTATGCATTGCATACCAATTTAATACAGTCCAGTTGTAGTTCACCCCAACTTCACTGTGATTTTTGTTTTCATCAATTTCTGCTTGTTTCTTAATATACCTGATAATCAACCATGTATTCTTTGGGGGTTGCAGACTGCCAGAAATAGTGCAAATTGAGTCCACTTTTAGGTTTAGGGTTAGGGAATCATGGGAACTGTATTTTATTGTAGCACCAGAGCTCTCTGACAGAGAAGGCTATATATCTCAGAAAAAAACAACAGTTCCCATGATTCCCTAGCACTAACCCTAACCCTAAAAGTGGACTCAATTTGCACTATTTCTGGCAGTCTGCAACCCCCTTATATTTGTCTCAGTGAAAAAGTAATATATTTAGATAGCTTTTTAACTGAAAGAAAAATGTCATTTCAAGCCATTTGGTGCTTACTCACCTAAGCATTGTCTCTAGCTGCTACTTTCACAGCATTTTGCATGCATGGGATGATCCCATTATTTTTATGATTAAAATGTGAAGTGTTCAGTCTTTGATATGTGATTTCATATGTGATTGAAATATGAAAAACTTTCAAATTTATTTATAGCACATTCACACTGTTTTCAATGATGTCTTCTAATATGGAGATTTTAAGTAGACCATCCGAAAAGAAAAAAAAAACATCTTTTATTTACACTCAAGAGCTAATTTTCTCCTAGAATTTATCTATAGCTGGTTTAGTATTCTCTCATTTTGGGGAAGGTGTGTGGTGTGTGGTGTGGTGGATGAGCTAACCTTGCCGTGTGTTATGGGATCTGGCCTCCATAAAGTATATGTATGAATATCACAATTTTTTCTCTTAAGAAAGGCCCAAGATTATTTACATCAACATAATTAAGAAATTGCAGTTAAAAGATAGCAAAATCCAGACAAACAAACCCAAGGCATAACCAAAAGCAAGGTCATATTTACTGCCACAGCCTGCTTGTGGAAAACAATTATAGATTGTGTATTTAAAATAAATAATGTATGCCCTGCCTTCCCCCTCCTTCCAGGGATGCACATATTCTCCATGCAACATATCTTAAAGTTAAGTCATTGTTCAGTTAAGTTGGTTGGTCTTTTTTCTGGGCTGGGCCACTTTAGCCTGCTGGCAATTAGTGCCCCAGCCTTCCCTCCCCCAGTAAACTGTCCTTAAAGAAGAAATAGCAACTAAATGTCTCATTGCAATACTGGTTCCAGTTTAACTGAGTGACTGCTAGTCAATACCTCAAAGGCTTATCAAAGCTGGTTTTATTTTTGGACTGACTGAATATCTCAGTCCAGATTTGATTTTTGCACTTATGATATATTGAGGTGTAGTGGTTTGAGTGTTGGACTATAACTCTGGATACCACAGTACAATTCTCAGCTTGATCTTGAAGCCCACTGTGTGACTTTAGGCAAGTCACATGCTCTCAGCCTCAGGGGAAGGCAATGGCAAACCTTCTCTGAGCAAATCTTGCCAAGAAAATGCCATGATAGGTTTGTCCTAGGGTTGCCATAAGTCAGAAACTACTTGAAGGCACACAACAACAACAACAACAACAACAACAACAACAACAACAACAACAAACTATTTAATAGTGGTCCATCCTCCTCACCCCCAGGAATGAGTACAGTGGGTAAAGTATAACTTGCCAACAAGGATTATGGCCTCAAACCAGTTGTTAGAACAGACCCATGCCAATTAAATGGAGTTTGGTAAATCCACAGTTTTGTAAGTTCTATCAAATGGCTATTTCTAGGCTGTGATGCACCCTTCTAAAAAGGTTAGAATGCACTTCTTCCTGTCTATATTTCTATCAGCAGGCAAAGACTTTTTAATTCCAAGAAGTGCCTGTTCTAAAAGATATGGCTTATAAAAGAGTACTGTTCTGCTTCTAAATGTACTCATTTTTTTAAAAAAATCTTTATTAATTTTCCAACGTATCAAAGAACAAACATACAGTTATACATATACATGACTATGGTCTGAAACATTGTTGGTGTTATTTCCTTAGTTTTGAGGGTTTGCTGTCTTGTTAAAATAAAATTTGAATGTTTGTCCTACAGTTTTAAGTACATATTCTACTGTATTTTCCAATTGAATGTACTATTTTTAAAGTTTTTAAAATTATTGCTCATTGTATCTTTTACATTACTTTTAATGTTATTGACCATCACATTTTAATGTTAACCTTTTGTGTGTGTTTACATGTATTAGATTTATTTTACTTTGTCCCAATGTTGGTGAAGAAAGCGAGATATAAACGAGGTAACATTGCTGCTGCTCTAATTGGAATTAACCACTGGAC